GTAGAGATTAATCCAAATCAAGGATTTCGTACAGTGCACGTTTACAGTTCACCATATATATAGTTCAGCGTCATTGAATCTATGATGGGACCCGCCTAGTGAAAAAAATTGTGTTAATCCCCAGAACTCCACTCCAGGCCGTGCAGGGCGGTGGTTATTGTATCAGCTGTAATTGGGCTGAGATCACCTCTGATGGAAACCGTATATTCAATTATTTAAGCAGCCACTTGATGACGTGCCTCCGGACTTAATGGGATGGTCTTAATCCGGTCTATTAAAGGAATGATAGGTAGCTTGATTTTAGAATAATGCCATATTGGTCGTTTACCCTGCCTCCTGTGTCAAAGTACGAGATTGTTCTTGCCATGTGAAATGTATTTCTAACTAAACATCAAATAACCCAGGATCGCCAAACGCTCGAGCTCCGCCTCTATGAGAGAAATAACGATTATGACGATGCCTTGCCTCCAGCACTGTTTTTAATTGCTTAGCAACCAGCTAGACAACTTACAAGATTTTTCGTACACATCGATCCTAAACAATGAAATCAGAACTGGATTTTAGTTGCTTGCAGAATACATGTAGCTGTGGAGCACACTAAATCACTAAACGCTCTACCAGCTGCAGTATACGTAGACTGGGATACCAGCATAAGTTCTACCCTTACGTCACTGCTAGCTCGCCCCAGATATGTCAGCATCCCGATGTCAGATAACGCTGGTATATTACATACTTCCGCTCCAATCTGTTCAATGAAAATTGTTTTGGAGTGATTAAATCGTGAGGGGGGACATTAGGCAGTATTGCTACACCGCTATAGCGCTACATTATGTGAGATTACGGAGAGCATTAGTTTAACGTAACTACTGGTGGGTGAGGTGTTCTACCAGTGTACCCGCCCTGTGGCGTAACACACTAGCGTCATATAGTGTCCACTATACGGCTTGGTTGCTGTGAAAGAAAGCAGAATTTGTCCAAATGGCGTGTACATGTTTGCAAAGTTCTTCTATGGTCGACAAACTCCTTTTACAAACTATTCACCTCATTTTACCAATTGACAATGTCTACCACCTTTTCAGGATATAGGAACCAAAGAGGTTTGCATTCGTACCTGATAAAATTCCAACATTTCATGGTTAGACATGGTGACAGCACTCTCAAGTTATTTCAACTTATTTTATGCCGCCACTAATACATAGGACAAATACAGGACAGGACAATACTCATTTTCACTTGATTCAAGTGAGGAAAGTCGTGTGGCATGTTAGGACTCGAACCCGGGACCTCTTGGTTCCGAGTCGAGCACTCTGTCGTTACGCCACACGACCCCACTGGTGAAACGATGGTACGCAGTCTCACGGCGGGTTATCTCTCACCGTTATATTGACCACGCAATGAGCTGTGCTCTCAATCATTCTGTGTAGAAGATAACGGCGCGCAATAAGCAGAAAAAAGATACTTCCCGAAAAGTGACATCACCAGATGATATAGGCGTTCTTGTGTTGACTGATTGTCCTCATGAGCCGAGCTATGAACCCTCAGGGGTCAACAGAAGATGGATTGCCCCAGCACGTTTATAAGAGGTCAGTGTACGAGTTTTCCGTCAGTTTTGCAGTTCAGAAAATATTGGGTGTGATGAAGGGGTTCACACAGGGTTAATAGTGGTCCACCAGTTCTGACATGCTCACGCCCGGAAGTATCTACCTGCTTTATCAAATCACTCAAAGAATACGCCAAAAAAGTTACTCAAGTAACTGGATGTGATTTGGGAAACGGTCAGACGTTTCAGGTAGCATCCACTAGTACTACCTTTCGTCATTGACACTAGAGGCTTGCAGGAAAAGGCAGGTTTATTAGCTCGAAGTAGTTCTACTAGTTACCTGGATGTCTAACCTTCGCCGACGTACGCAAAGAATAGTATGTCTGTAAATATCCATCTTCTGGATGTCTTACAAGTTTGTATATTCATCAAGGAAATGATTAACTTTGTTTGTCGTCAAGGTTTTTCCAATTACTTCTCTAATTGTACGGTTCATAATTAGGTTGTCACTTTTGATTGATGCCATAGACACAAGAATTGTTTAAAAAACAGACTTATAACCAAGATGAATCGCTATAGGGGTTGGTTTAATTAGGAAGATACGTTTACTTGAAGGTGAAGGATAATCGGTAACGATGAAACCAAATGCAAAGCGTACAATTACAAACTATCAATACTTCCGTACATCAAATTGATCAATACAACTGTTAACACTGAATAATGACACCAATATGTTTCCAATCACCTCTGTGGTCATTCTGGGCCCGTAAGTCATTTTGATGTCTAATATTGGTTTATTACGTCACTCGTCATTCATCATAATTGTTCATTAAGCAAAGATTAACATTCATTTGTAGCGCCTTTTTAATAGCATCACCAGTGATACTTTAAGAACGCCTTTTAGATGAGAAGACAATTAGATTTGTAGAAAATGTCCCAACGGGCACAACTGAGCTTAGAAAAGAAAGACCAAGAAAAGTCTGTAACAAAGGATGAGGACTACGCTAGGCCCGTCCGGGTGGCATTTGCTCCACTTTTTCAACACCTTATATCCGCCATGCTTTTGTACAGTTCTTTTGTATAATTAGTTGCCCGCGGTGCCGGATGAAAAGATTTTGTTGCAGGCAGGGTTTGTGAGACTTGTGGGCCGCTTGGGAAGAAATTTCAACATCCGCTTCAAACTGGTGGCTTTAAAAGATCTTGAGTTCAAAGAAAACATCTTGAGATTTGTGTCAGCACGTTGCAGTCAAACTTTGCAGGATCTACACCCGAGTGTGGAAACGTCAAGCAGATGTTTGTAACTTTTTCCCTTGCTCGCTGTCTCGTTTTCCTAACTTGCAGCTCTATCAAAGATGTCCTACGTTTGCGACTATGTCATATTCTAGGCCATGCCATGGGGGTAGTAGATACGCACAGCGCCAAACGATATCTAAATCTATCCGTGTTTGTTAAAAGTCAACACTACACAATACGTGACAACATGTCGCTACATGCAGCACACTTTGCTACACGGTCCTTCTCCTATTGTCTTTTCACATGCGGGGATCATCCCGGCCTGACCTCTGACATCTCTCCTCGGGGCAGACTAATCCGTTGCCATGACAACCAATCCCCCCGTACACCTGTATCAAAGCGAAACAAGGCCTAAAGTGTCCCACTTGAATACAAAATAGGACAAATCCTCCTGGACAAATACGCCAAGTACATCTGATATGAGTCCGATTATGTTAGTCTACCAGGCTAAGTACGCTGGATACATGTATATATAGGAGAATATTTGCCGGGGGAGTTTGGCCGCCTTGGAGTTTGGCTGGCTTCGGAGGGAAAGAAACAACCTTCCGCGGCCTGACTTCCCTGGCCAACTCTTCTTTTTGCCGAATTCTGCGATCCGTATTCCCTTAGAAAGGCCTGGTGGAGGCTACGATTATGTGGTGATGAAGGAAGGTACAAGGCGAGTCTGCTTTTTGGACAGCCTGCAGTTTTATCCTTGAATCTCATCAGTCTACGCTATCGTTTTACACAATGTGAAATGCCCTACAGGTCATAATTATCAAATTACATATGTAATATATCGGACCCCCTACAGTTATCATTACTGTCTGTTGTAGAGGTTAGAATATGGGCAGCGCCCGATGACTGCTAACTATTAATACCGTGACAAGGTCTAAACCTCCTCGGTAGACACGACACCTTACAAATTTCAGCGCGAACAGGGCAGAGTTCCGACGGACCCAGGAAACCAACTTTTGTGCATATAAAACGTTACCAACACGTAACGAACGATAAACAGTCTGCAAGTGAGTATTCTCTGATACAGTCGACTCTCAAGACACTCTCCGTAAGCTTTACGTTTGTCCATTCTAGACTAGTCGAATATAGTCAAGCGTTACGTTTGAAAATCCTAGAACACAACACATCTCGGCTAATGGCAGACAGAGCGACTCCTTGCAAGACGCCCGACATGATGATGAGAACACAACACAGGCCAAGCATACTACCCTGTGGTACCATACTGATGATACTAGCCACTCTGGTAAATTGCAATCCATTTGCAAAATAAGGGCCACTGCAACTTGTTTCGGAGGCTTATTAATTAGGTAAAAGGCTTTAATCTTTAAATCAACACTAGTTTCTTAATGACCACGGTGAACATTGACATCTGCCCTCTTCACATTTCAAGACATTCGAATGAAGCTGAAGAAAATACTCCAACCGGTTGTCCAGTCAAGACGATTTACTTACTTCGTTCCACAATCGTCGACAGTCTTAAGGCAATGTTTTTCTTGTCTTAACTCATTGTTTACTCGGTGGTTGGAAAGCAACACGAAAGGTTATTTAAGGCATTTAAATTCAAACAGAAATGAATTGAAAAATGACTTGTGTGAGCTAGTACTCGACGTGACAAGGCGAGAAAAGTTGGTACGTCTTTATGGGATGATGCGTCTAATTAAATCAGACAGGAACAACCGATAGAACATGTATTATTTACGGAGAAGACACGGTCGCCACCAGGCCCTACATCAACAAGGGCTTAACCGTACAAGCCAGTACACATACCTGCTTTTTCTGTCGAATCGCTAATTGTGTACACGAATAAGACACCAGAAAATTGTCCCACGACACAGAAGTACGGAGAAGTCATCAAACACAATCTGAACATCTACATAGCAGTATCAACTATATATCCTTCGCGATACGAACGATATTCCGAAAATATTTTACGGTCGCCGATGTTATATATACCTATGAGAACAGGTCCAAACTCACTAGCCTCCATAGCATGCCAAAAACTGTGGGTTTTGGGGGTCTTCATGGTCTTTGGGAGCTTTTATGTGCTATTTTCTTATTGCATATAGACAACATAGCCGGCCTGGTTGAATTACCCCCGTTTCATCAGAGAACAGCCGAAGACCACCAAACCCCCAATTTTATAAGCTTGCTACGGAGGCTACAAACTCACCGATTCGCACTTCCGAAGGCACGAGGACGGCGGAAGTTCTGTCCTGTACCGAGACGAGCAGGAGGAAGAAGTTGAGGACAGCGGAGAGCTGGTGACTGGAGACGCGGGACATGACTGATGCTCGCCCGGTCGGCGCGGATGTCAGAATAACACTGATACTGGGGAGATAGTGCTGCAGGGCGATATGGGAGGCACGGGGTGGGCGATACCATCCTGGGTACCGGAGGGGTGGGTTGAAAGCTAATAAGTCGTTGTGATCCATATTTCTTCAGTGCAAGCTACAAAGTACAGGCCACTTTTTGGTCTCAAGTTGTTGGGGGAGGTATTTTTGTCCGCTTATCGTGTTTCACCATTTCTAAATCGTAAATCATATGTACATAATTTTGTTACTTATAGTAACGTTACAGGCAACTTACAAATAGTAGAAAATTCAAGCTTGGTAACTTCAGAACCAAAAAAAAAAATGCTTTGATTAAGATGTTTGTTGCTGTTTTGCTCGAAGAAGTTTGGAAACACCAGAAGTCTCGCAAAGCTGGAAGCGACGTGTAAGCCAGTCTGCCCTAGCTGCTGCAATTCTGTTCTTACTCGGCAGGTGGCGCGCGTAATGTTGGCTGTTGCCGTGAAAAGGCAAGCCTCTTGATCGAGCGTGCAAGTCAAGAAACAGTTCAGTAAACAACACGTAGTTCTAACTTTGGTTTGCCAATAGCTTTAATAGGCAAAGACGTTTACGTTGTACTACATGATTGCAACTTAGACCACGGAGCTGCCTACCTCCATGATTATTAGACTGATGGCATTATATCAAAACAGCAACAAAAGGAAAATTACTGTACGAGTTATCATAGGCATTTACTTAAACGACGCTCTCTGGCTTACAATTTTCTTCACGTGTTTCTTCTAATCAACATCTATGATGTTAGGCCCTACGCTGTGCATGTGCGATACTTTACCGATGCAACAAGACATCCAATTGCAAGCTGATCGTTACATCATTAACTACTAAAACTCACGCTCTCCCCCTAGAAACAAAATTAAGCAACATCCCGACGAAAGAAAGACTTATCATACACGCTCATCTACGTTACTGTTGGCAAAGACCGTTGTATCAAACTGAAATTTGTATCACTGGACCACATCGCTTCTGCTTGTATCAAATGATGAATATTGCAAACTCAGCGGGGTTCTTTCTTTTTACTAAATCAAAGCGGTACATACAATCTACAACATAATCCGTAAACCATCACTCGAAAGGGTCAATACACTGTGGAAGGCCGCAGAGAGGGCTGAAGTTTGGGTGAGTTTATGTACAGTTAATACTGTGTGCTAAGTTGGATCAAAGTTACGCTTGTCACAAAAGATTTAATTACTGTTGAGTCTTCCCCCGTCTTTATCTAAGGTGTTCAGGTTGTAGAAGATGAGGGTCGCTGAGGACGCAGCTCCGACCTAGCCTCTGCCAGGCTTCAGGAGTGGATGGAAAGAGTAGAAATTTGCCATATAGAAAATAAAATGCGGAGGGACGTGGGCCGGCACGGCAAAATGTACTCTCTAGCGGACCAACTCCCCTGGCTTGTTATCTCTCTATTTGGCAAATTTCTATTCTTTCCAGCCGCCTCCCGCAGCCTGGTAGAGGCTAGCTCCTCCGGTCCGCTCAACCCCTCCAGCCGACCAGCAGGGCGGTCAGCAGAGCGCCGAACAGCACGTCCACGCAGAGGCGACACCTAGCGGCCACGCTGGTGTACTCCTCGCACACCTCTGGCGGCTCGGACGCTGTGGACGAGAGGGTGAATGATTTTGAATCCGTATATAATAGCGTTAACATTCAGCTTGTACGAGAATTACCGAAAAAATATGTTATCCTTGTCGCATACGTCTTGCGACAGCTTAAGACAGCACACCGTAAAGGAGTCCCAACACTTCATATTTTTCTCATTATTTATATACAAATATCGATATCGTATCTAGTCATTTGCAACATTACGTTATGGGAGGGGGCGCGCTGCACAAACCAATCTAATATTGTTGTGCTGTGTGTCTGTGGAGTTAAAATATAAGTTATACTTGAGTGTAACACCACATTGTTCTTGTCCTTTTGTTTGTAACGATTTGCTTGGGAATAACCTTTTACACTATACTTACAGGCCTGCGACTTGTACTGCTCGTACTGGTCCTGCCCCGTGGCCATGCACTCCACAGTCCGGGACGCGTCCTTCACACACTTGTCCATCTCCGGGTACAGCCTGTAGCAGACATAAGTACAGTATTAAACATCGCGCAAGTAGATAGATAAGAGAAAACAAAGGGGCGTTAAAACTACACGAAGATGAAACAGAGCACCGTAGAGTTGCCCGCGAAGTACAGTACCTTCCTAAGCACTGACTCTCCTGGCTTCACCACACCACGAAGTGGTGAGGTAAAGACATATTGCTTTCTCTCATGTTTCTTCTTCTCCTTCTCCTTCTTTTCCTGTCATTTCGTTAAATGGATTCAATTTCTTAATTTTTTGGGCCAAATAACATGAAATTTGGCATGAAGGTAGAAGCTACATTTTTTTTCGCTTGGCTAGCGTAAAAAGTTACCTGTACAAAAAAGAGAGCCCGATAAAAATGCCCCAAAACACGCCAAAAATAAGCCTCTGCTTGGAGAGTGTAACTCACTGGCAGAGCTGCCTGAGCTCGGCCTCGCCCGGCTGGGGCGCTCCCGGGGCGAAGATGCGGGTGATGGTCTGCAGGGCGGGCGCCGTGCAGTTGGTGATCTCCTCTGCACAGTTCAGGATGTCGTCCAGACTCCCAGCGGCCGGAGACGGTACTGCAGCAGACATAACAAGAAGAAAGAAGTGGCAATCAAAATGTTGTCCAAAAGAGAAACATTTGCAGTTGCGTGACACATTAGCAAAATGTCACAAGAACACATCATACACACGTTCATTGCCTACATTAGCTTGTTAACCAGAGGCTAGAGGGAGAGTTCGCTACCTTCCTCTGATTGCTCCGCTTTATAACACTAGTAACAGCCACTCTATGGGAAGGTTGAATTAGAGGATGGTCACGATTTTCCCCTCTGACTTCTTCTTGTAGATCTATAACTTCAGAAGTAACGGACGTCCATTGAACTTCAACGCGAATCGCCGTGAATTAGCGCCACCCTGCAGTTTGTTCAGCGACGCAACGACGACTTTACTTCGGTGCCAATAGACAGTTTGTACTCCCCTGTATTGCAAGTATACGTTTCGCCATTTTGCAGACTTGAGTACTTGTAATTACTGAAATGTATACTAGCAGCAGTAGTATAATCAAATCCTGGGTAGTGAGTGAGTGAAATAATGTCACTAAAAGGCCAAAAAAAAAGCACAATGACCAGGGGAAAACTACAAACACTTAGTTTATACACTCTTTTCCCTCTCAGTGTATTAACCCTATATCCAGGCAGATTAAAGCCAGTCGTTACGCGGCAAGACCTGTAAGCAATCTCCTAACGTCCATGGCAACGGACAGCAAGGTTGATCTTTGTTTATAGAGAGACCACTTCAGCAAGGAATGCCCCGAATCCCCAAATCCTCGGGAGAACATTATTAGGTTACAGAAATGCTGGTTTAGTTGATACGAGTTCGCATGCTGCTTGTTCATTCTGGTCAGATCTGTTCATTTACCGGAGTGTATCCCGTAGTTTTGTACATAATTAAAGCCCTGCGTGCATTGATACAAATCTAAAGTAATTGTGACTACAACTTAAAACATCAAGGCCAACCCGCTGTTCTTTTGAATTCTCGACAGCGACCAGCCAACTCCACGGGCAAAACATTTCCTGTATGTTTATTAGAAAATTTCTACTACTTTTTCTTGTCCTCCGAGAGGTTTGGTATTGTTCGATATATATATTCTTGATTTTTTAACCTGCTTGAAATAATAGCACCTTTCGAGGATCCACATCTAGTTCTATGTACTCTCCAAGCAGAGGTTGATGGTGGAAGATCGTTTGCTTTTTGTATATGGTCCGTTTTTTATGTCTCTACCACCACCAACAGAGAGACCAAAAAAACGGACCACACATAAAAAGCAAACGATCTTCCACCATCAACCTCTGCTTGGAGAGTACTATGAAGGGCCCATGAAGGTCAGACCACACAAAGCTCCCTAGGCAGACCAGGTTCAACAGACCACCACATTGCCCGGCATTCTTGGAAACCAGCCGGCCTGTCAGCGACAAGTGAAAGCCCTCAGGTTTATCAATCTGTCGCTGTCCTCCTGACTGACTCCGGCCGGTCGCAATTTTAAAGGCTGGCCTAGTTGCCTTACCTTGACCTGTGACCTCATCGACCTACATTCCACGCGGAGTTGACATCGTTTGAGATGCTGTTACGATATCGGATGATTTGTTTTCCAAAACGTTTTGTGGGAAAAGCTAGTGCTTATTTTGGCTATAGGAGGGTATGTATTTGGAATCTTGTTTTAACCGCCCAGTCATATCTAATAGTGCATGTTTCTATATCTAAAGTATGTTTACATCTAAATGTAGCAAAGCTGAAAGTGAAATAAACAAATCACTGCTATCAATCACTCAAGTCCGAAAACTGGTACTTGGGCCTTGCTAAAACTGGTACGGACATTATACAGTCTCCAGTCTTTATAATGTCCTTGCTAAAACGCACTGCTTGGGACCAGCTAAGATTCTTTTTCTTCGCCACCCTTGCATTTTCGTATAATAGAACCATTGTGAATGAACGAATGGATGAAAGGATGGTTTATTCACATCATTTAAGACATATCATACAGTAGCAGCCTTCATTGGCTGAAATGAAGTATGATTTACAATTGAAAATACACTCAAAACACGTTGGGAAGTTTTCTGGCCAACATGTAGCCTCTATCAGGCTTTGGAAGCTGTTAGCTGGAAAGACTAGGAATTGGCCAATAGATAGATAACATGCCAGCAGAGTTGGTCGGTTAAGAAAGTACATTTGCACGTCTTTCCAGCTGCTTCCGAGGACTCGTAGAGGCTCGTCAGGGTGGACTGGATCGTAAAAGGGGCCGGAGGGTTCAGAGGGACTTGAAGGCCCCCTAGGTATTATCATAAAAACGCCTGAGATGACCTACGTACCGGAGGTGACATTGCTTTAAACTGCTGGCGCCATGGCCTGTTTTGGACAACATATCGGGACCGACGATCGTCAAGGTCTGTAGCCTAGTACGAACAAAGCTAAAGAACTTTATGAACGTTCTACTAACTGTTGACAAAGTACGACTTGAAACTTGGCATTCGAGACAAGCCATCTAATTCGATTGAAACTAAAGCTTATTTCCCAACAGAGAAACCGGCAGTTTTCTTTCTTTTTTCATATCTTTTTTATTTGTTTACTTTGCTTACTTGCACAAATCATTTTCAAACACCGAGAAAATATAGTAAGTAGAACAAGATCCAAGCTATTTATGTCGCGTCGGTGGGAAACAGCCGGGGTTGGTCAACTGGGTCGTTCATCAACGTAAAAAAAATGGGGGTCTGCATGGGGGTTCCGACTACGCTCTACGATGCATCCGGAAGGTCAACTTCGCCTTTCAAATAGATTCAAAATCTTCAGTATAGTCGAAAATTGAAGATAAACTAAAATTTTTGCGGTGCACAGATGACCTACACGGATCACTTTTAGAACTTACTCATCGAACTATCTAGTTGCAAGGGTCGTTTTTATTTTCTACAAGTTCCATATATCTGAAACCTACCAATATTCTCTGATTTCAAGATGAAGTCACGTGTATACTTGTCATGTTAAAATAGGTCACAGATAGTTTTTCTGATATCAAAGGGAAACATCAATGCACTGCATGGTAGAGATAAGAGCAGCAGTGAAATACTACACTTTACTTCCCTTACACTTGACCACGGCGAGGTTATATTCCGCTCACAGCTGTACAGTGTCTAGCCAGGAAGATAATGAGATATGTGGCTCAGGCCTATCTTGTATAGTCTCCATCAGACTCTTATGCAGGCTGAATAAATAGTAGTAGAAATCGGCCTAAAATTTAAAAAAAATTATCATATTATGGCCAGGGAGTTGGCCGGCATTAGAGGGTCCAGTGCCAATTTTACTCTCTTTTTTGCCGAATTCTACGATCCGTAAAAACAGTATTCCCGTAGAAAGGACTGGTGGAGGCTAGGACTGGACAGCTACATTCTTTTTAGGCCGATTTTTACTACTAGTATTTATTCAGCCTGCAAAAGAGTCTGGTGGAGACTACATTTTGTACGTCTTTAGGAGTTTTGACAGCGCGCCACCACCATGTAGGCAGCAGCCTGTTTATATTATATTTTGCGGTCCGGTCGTGACCTTATTTGGTCCGATAATGCACGGCAGACTTCGCACGTCACCAAGCGCACAGTGGTTGCGCAACGTTCGATGTTACATGTAAACACTGGTTTATGTCTACTATCAAGTCGTGGTGCTATCAAAATTTGTCCTGCTAAGATTTTTACAAGCGGTTTATGGCTTGAATCTGGGACAAATGCAGTTTTCTTCCTTTTTTTATTTAGTTATACCCCAATTAAAACGGGGGGGGGGGCGTGGCAGTGATCACTTGGTCGGCAGATCTGTTTGAAGATTTAGACCTACGTGCCAGTGGCCATGAATTCGACCTTTATAAAAAATAGCAGGTTACAGGACACGGTTGGGTGGTTCGAAAATGAGGTTAGTAAACTCCCTGGGTGGCTGTGCGCGCACATTGTTTGGCAGTGTACGGGGGGCATTCTATGGCGTAGGGGGGTGCGCGGGCACTAATTTCCTGTGTATTCAACATAATATGATATGCTTACCGCTATAAAATCTCAAAGCAGATCTTAGGGGGGAAACGGTTACGACCTTGCCTCAGAAGCCGAAGTTGGTGTATGGTAGGTCTTAAGGTCGTTTCTGGAGTGGCGTTCAGATATAGAACTTAAGCCGCATTAACATTTTAATCGGCCATTTCCTCCGGTATATTGCATGCAATTATTTTTATAGCCTCTTGAATACTGAGTATTTCAGACTCTGGACAGACGACAAACATATATGTTCAAGTCCCTAGAGCGTTTCACAACGTATTACCTCAGCACATTGTGCATTTTCAGGTGTTCTATGCCTTCTATTTCGCCCTACCAGCGAACGTAGTGTACTGAACAGGCAGAAACTTGAGAAAGTACTACCAAATAGTTTACAAAAAAGAGCTCCCTAAGCCTTACATTTTCTGTGGGATTACGAGAAGTAGAGTGGCTGGTACCGAGCTCTACAGTAATTGGTCTGCAGTACACCTGGTTAATCCGCTGTTTGGCGGGCTGACAGAAACACCGAAGTTTTGGCAACAGATTTGAAACTCAAAAGTTTTCCTCGTCATCAGTGTTAACTGTCCAATCATGCACGTTAGCGAGAGGAAGTTGCGTATTACTAGCCTCTACCAGAAACTGTACTCTCTTGCGGACCAACTTCCCTGGCATGTTATCTCTCTATTTGGCCAAATTTCTACTCTTTCCAGCCGCCTCCCCAAGCCTGGAAGAGGATAGCGTAATACTGGTAGGATGGGGTAAATGGAATGGGCGTGTCACTGGGGCTGATTACAGGATTATCGATCTGGTATTGATGAATATTTCTGTTATGTTGATGATTTGACCTAGAATGGCCAAACATTCAAACAATGTGTCCTCTCATTCTGTAGTGAGTCACACTTCCTACACTCACAGCGTCTCAGGGCGTATGGGCGTGTCGTACAGCTTGCTAAGTACAGCTTGCGGCAGAAAAGCAAGGTTGTCACAGATGATTTTCCCCAAGCAGATGTTTGGATCAGCTT